TAAAAAATATATTTATTACAACTATCCTTAGAAAAATCCAAAAAAAAAGAGGAAAAATTCGGCCTTTCTAACGTGAAATTATTGACAAAAAGGTTTGGTTATGGAAGTAAAAAAACTTTGTAAAAAATTCTCAAAAGATGAATGGTCGAAGAAACTTTCCACCAATGAATGGGTGATAGCAATTTCCTGGAAAGGCCCACCAATACCTCTCGTTTTGAAAAGGGTTAAAGCCAACTATGGTCTCTCTACTTTCCTTTTTGGTTTATTGTCCTCTCTGTCCTTTAAAATCGTTTAAAGACCTCTCTCTACCCTCCCAAAACATACTACTGTCCTCTCGTCCTCTCTCTCTAGTCTCTACGTTCAATTTTCATACTAGTTAGTTAGCTCCCTTACTAACACCGTTACTACATTAACATCTGTTAGGGTTAAAGTCAGTTATAGTTCCTTTACTTTTATTTTTCATTCATTGTCCTCCCTATACTTACATTTCGTTCAAAGTTCTCCCTTTACTCTTCCAAACCATAGCATTGTACTTCCTCTACTTTAACTTTTAATTACATTTAGCTCCCTCCCCTAACACTGTTGACTCAATGTACTCCAAGAGAGGGGGTGAATTGGAGTTCCAAAAATTCTCCCCTTTTTGCAACCACAACACCCAAATTAAAGAGAGTAGAGAAGAAGAGCTTGCTCAATGATTTATAGAGATTTGGTCCAACCACTTGGAGCCTAGTCCTCTACCTTGGCTTCACTCATCAAGGATTTCCTCCACACTCTCCACTAACAACAATAAGGGTGGCTTAAAGGAGCCACTAAATCCTTTTACAAGAATAAGGGTGTTTCTCTCAAATCTCACCCCTTTACAATGTAAACCCCACAAATCCTCTCAATAGATCACTCTTGAAGGAATCAACACACCCCCAAGATCACTCACTAATAGCACAAGAAGAGGGTTACAAATAAAGATCTCTCAAATATCAAAATCTCAAGTTAAAACACAAGTTGGTAGACAAAGATATTTAAAACAATGCTCTCTAAACTTCTTCAAATCTGTTACCAACAATATTTATAGCCCCTTGCTCGAAAATAGCTGTTTCTAGCCGTTGGGGGTCATTAAATGCTCTGTAGGACGCAAACCTCGAGCTACAGAATTGTCAGGAGAGCCGGCTTAACTTTACAGAGTCGGCTATCCGGGTTTGCAGCATATTCTGTTTTTCTCGAGAGCCGGCTGCAAAACTTTGAGCCGGCTTTGCAACTCCGACTTTAAATACATTAAATAATTTTCAAAAGACTCGACCGTTGTGCATTAAATGCACCCTCATAGCCGGCTTCAAAGCCAGAGCCGGCTTTGCATCTTTTCTCCGCGCGCCAAAGAACGATCTTCAAATTTTTGCCTGTAGAGCCGACTGCAGCTTCTAGAGCTGGCTCTCTGCATCCCATTTCACCAGAACCGGCTGCACTTTACCAGAGCCAGCTCTCTGCACATCTTGAATCCTTTTGGTCTATTTTTAGTGCAATCCAAGCTTACTTGCAATCTTTTAGCAACTTAACTACACACTTAAATAAACCAATTAGTTACTCAAATGTGTTTTGTAATCATCAAAATCATAGGTACAACAAACACCACACTAACACCGCTTATAACTCCCATCTCACGTAAATATCTTGGACCGTTAAGTGTGATGGTTTCCTTTCTTTTTCTTGAATTGTGTTTGTGAGCCCCACAAAAAAAAAAAAAAAACTCAAACTTTGTTAATTTAATAAGTATATAGTAATTAGTAATTAACTTCAATATTCTTTAATTTTCAATGCACACAATCATTTAAACAAAACCTTAGTTTTTCTTTTTTA